GCACCTTATGTTCAATAGGTTGGGATGCACAGTCTCCCGTACCCCCTGAATGAAGCCAAGAGACAGTCTGAATTTTGGGTGTAGATACTGACTACAGACCCTCTGGGGTCTGTGATAAAGGCACTTTAGTGCTACTTGGCTACATGAAAGAGCTGTTATTTAGCATGGGCTTGGAGGAGGAGGAGAGTGGAGATGGGATCTTCCTGAGATGGCAGAGGCCAAGTTCTTCCATAAAGAGTTTTCTCCTGTGGCTCCCACTGGATGACAGGTATGAATCAGTGGATGAGGAGGCACGGGCTGAGCCATGAAGGAGATTGTGGAAGAAGTGGCTCTATTGAAAGTCAGAATTACAGGGAGGCTCTTTTGAGGGAGAGAAAAATGTCTTCTTTTCTGATAGGTTTGAATATAAGCAGAAAGACTCCAGTTGCTGTTACGGTTTGTGCCTCTGGTTGGAGCAGTGGTACAGCAGGGTACTGCTGAGCAAGTCTGGGAGGGAGTGCAGGTAACAGGATTTGTTGTGCCCTGGAATGACAGCCATGGTCCTAGAGTTACATAAAGTGTTGGGGCAAACAAAATATGCTGACTATGGTGAGACACCCAAGAGGTCTGGACCCAATCCTATTGACAATGTCCCATGTGCTTCTTCTCCAACCTCCAGATTGGCTTCACCTGCTGATGAGCTTAAGACCAGACTCCGCCATGAGAGGGTTTCTCAACTGGCAAGGTATGGACTGTGCCTGAGGGACCATCTGCTTGAAGTTGTTTCCCCAGCAAAGGCCAATACTGTATTGCTCTGTTCCTGCTGAGGACATGAGGTGCCCACATGGTCTCATGGCCCAACTCAGTTAAGGGAGCAGCTGCATCGTTCAAGTCTGTCAACCTAGCTGACCCAGCGTCACTTCAGCTCGGTGTCCACTCTATGCGGCTGTCTCCTCAGGCTGTGTTGCCAGCAAACAGACCGCCAGAGGTGCCCCTAGCAACCACACAGCACCTCGTGCTGCAGTGCTCTCAGCAGCAGCCGCCCACCATGCACTGTGTGCACCCCTAGAGCACAGCACAAGGCCAAGACCTGGCAGTTCTCTTACTTTTAAATAGCTCAATGAAATGCTGTAAACCTTAGAAGTAGCTCCTTTCTCTTCTGTAAAGACAGACTTATTACTTTTGATAGTACTTTACAGTCCTATGTTTTGCATATCTATACACAAACAATGAACCTTCTGGAGGATTCTAAACTGTTTTATCCAATGACCCACTCAGCATGTGGACAAGTTTCTAAATATTACATTCCTAAAATAGAACGCCAAATGTCACTGCTCACAATCCTGCACCTTCCCTTTCCCTTACCTCATCCTCTCCAGCCAATCTGTCAGCTAATTTTTTTTTTTGGTTTCCACTATCAAAATATGTCTACAATATTACCCCACTGCCAAGTCTAGTTTAACTGCTTGTCTTTTTACATTCAGTACCTTATTGAGGTCCCCTCAATCGGACTAGACATGCTAATTCTGGCTTCAAAGATCATGAACCACAAATTTAACATCCAGGAGCTGTAATCCATTTCTATAAAATAGCTGCTTCCATAACATGGGGGAAAGCAGGGGTTTTACCTGCCTTTCAACTATTCCTTTCCTCTGTAAATGTTTGGTTGAATGTCTTTGAGGTGTGTTACCTAATTCACATGGTAGTATAGGGCCAACACAGGCTACCAGTTCAATGTGTATTGTAGACTCTGGGAAAAGAAATATTTTTAAATATATTCATTTGGATAGTTGAAAAAAAAAAATATATATAGTCTTTTTTAGATCTATTCAAGTGATCTTTATGATACTGTTATTGTGTGTCTATCACAGATCTGTTTTTGGTTTTTTGTGTTTTGGGGTTTTTTTTTGGTGGTGTCCTTTTTGTGTAATATATACTATATCTAGTTTACTTATGAATGGTGAAGAGATTAAGATTGTTCACAGCTTTAGTTTCCTTAGCTCCACAGTCAACACTCTTGGCACCAGCAGCCAGGAAATTAAAAGACGTATTGAGATAGGAAAGTCTGCTGTTAGGGACCTCACCAAAGTATTGAAGAGCAATGGTGTCTCTCTGGAGACTAAGTTGTATCTGATACAGTCCATGGTCTTTGCAATCACTTGTTATGCATCAGAGTCAGACAATGACTAGGAAGGATAGAAGAAGAATGGATGCCTTTGAGCTGTAGTGCTCGAGAAGAGTATTGAGTATAATATGACTGCTAAGAAAACAAACAGTTCATCCTGTAGAGAGTTAAACTGGGCTGCTCCTTGGAGGCAAGGATTCTGAGGCTTCGTATGACATACTTTAGACATGTTGTAAAGAGAGACCAGTCCTTGGAGAGAGACATCATGCTTGGGAAGGTAGAAGGACAGCACAGAAGAGGAAGGCCCTCTATGAGGTGGATTGATTCAGTGACTGGGGTAATCAGGATGGGTGTATCGGAGACAGTGCAATTGGCACAGGACAGAGCAGAATTTAGGGCTGTTGTACTTAGGGTCACTATGAGTCGCAAGCAACTCGACGGCACATAACAACAACAACAGCTTACCCAGCTGAAGCTTCAAACTATGCTAGTATGGACCTTCTGGCAGACTTAGGTTTTGTATATAATCTTGTACAATTTGTAACAGAGGCCAGCCACATATGGTATGTATTTGGACTTTCTTTTATGACACCTTTTTTTTCCTTGTTCTGAATATCCTTGACATTACAGCTGGCAAACAACCAAAGGCTGGTATTTCATATCGGTTTTCTGAATATCACCTTCAAGAATTTACTTTGCAGCTTCTAATTTTGACAGCTTTCAACTGTATAAAAGTGTGTTTTGTTAAAGCAGCCAATCAATGAGTGCTGCATTTTGGATATTTAGCTTTATCTTTAAACACCACCACCTTGGTGCATTCATATATATCATCTAACATATGACACACTGTTGTAGTATGTATAATTTTGTGATCTTTATTTCCCTTTGCATTCATTTTAAGCATCTAAACAAATTATTGCATTGTGCTTAAAAAAATAGTTTATGTAAAGAAAAGACTATCACTGAGTGCAATAACCACAGTACTACCAAAGTCATGTCAGAGATTCTATACTAGCATATTACTTAGCTCCTCTGAATTCCACTCTACTCTTCTGAGTATTAAATTATCTTTTCACAAACTACAGGACACTTCCTTCTCTCCCATTTCAACTTATAGGGAGAAAGCCTGTCCTATACAATTTACATCGTGTGCTTACTGCAGGAAATCCACTCTCTAAAGAGAAAGAAAACCCTGTGATTATTAATTCTCCTCTCCTCCTGCACATCCTCATCTGTCTCCTTCAATTTTGATCAGGGGCAGGGTGAGGGAATTTGGAAGAATCTGTTCTGGAAAACAATGTATTCGAATTTTGTAAAGAAATAGTATAGTAATTTAAAAAAAGAGAAAAGAGGATGATGAGTTGCATCTGTTCTGTCTCTGCTAAACTCACCAATCAGAATAAGTTACTCCTCAAAGAATGCCTATGGGTAGGAATTTTCTTGTTGCTGTTGTTAGCATTATTGTTGTTGTTAATTGCCGTCGAGATGACTCATAGAGACCCTATGAACGAAAGACCTGAACACTTGTATAACTTTCATCATTTCTCCAAGTTCATAGGTTTTCTGAAGCAAGATGTTTTGGAAGTGGATGCCACTCCTGCTTCCTAGCACTACAGAAAGATTAACAAAAATCACAATTACAGGAAAGAAGTGGGAGGAAGTACAATTACACTATGAATAATTAAAATTAATATTATAGAAGAGAATATGAATGAATGCTTAAATAAAAGTTAATTTGCTTCTTAAGCCTTCAAATAATTTTTTTTGTTGGAGGGAGGAGGGCACATCAAGCAAGTAATCAAACTTGAAGAAATACAGATACCATTCCACGTGAAATCTCTCCAAAACCAAGGAACAGAAGTTGCCTTTCCCAAAGTTCTTACCCTAAGTCTGAACTTCTAACTTCCTAAATTGTGAGAAAATAAATTGGCTTTTAAAAGCCAAAATAACAACAAATAAAGTAGTATAGGAGTCATGCTCATATGGTCTTATTTCTGGCAACTAAAATTTATTTTTCAATTTCATAACTAAAAGAGAATAATCAAAGCTGCTTCAAAAGTGTTAACTGTCATTAAAATACTCTTAGGATTTTTAAAAATGATAATAGTCTTAAAATGATACAGATTAGCTGTTTATTTTAAATAGTCAATGTTGTTGCTAAGATGATTCTGAATCATTGCAACCAATCCTATATACAAGAGACTGAAATCTTCCCTGACTTTGTGGTAGCCTCACAATATCCACTGTACTTCCAAGCCGAGAGGCTCCATCTTCTAGCACTGTTAGGACAATGTTCTGCTGCTATTCATGGGGTATTTTCAGAGTAAATTACTTCAGAAGTGCATGTCCAGCCCTGCTTCTGGGTCTATCCTAGTCTGGAAGCTCTGCTGAAACTTGTCTACCATGTGTAACCCATCTACCATGGTAACCTTACTATTATTTGAAATATGGATGGCATAGCTTACAAAATTATATCAACACACAAGCCACCAAAGTAAACTAACTTAAGAATGGTAGCAAATAATTAGTATGACATATTTATTTCCACTCAAAACAGTTTAATAGTAAAGCTTAAAAAGTAAATCTCAATGATTTATTCTTGGCATTCAAAGACTAACTGCAAATTTGAAAGTTTAGGAAAAATTACTTTCAAGACTATAGAAAAGGTGACAACAAAACTATAATAATCTAGTTATGTGAATAAAATTACAATTTTTCAAGTGAGTTATCATTTTTCCACACTTAAGCCAAAATATAAATAGAAAAACATAAATTATTACTATAAACATTAAAAAAGATCAATTTCCCAGAAATGGTTGGTGCTTTATACAATATTTTTTTTAAAAACCCACAAATTTTATTTTATTAGGTTCCCTAATCACACTTACTGCAGAAATTAAACAAACAGGTTTTTTGCTTCTTTTACTTTCTTTTTTCTATCCATAACTGCAGCCCAACGGTCATCTTGAATTTTTTGCATAGCTCCAAACTTCACTGTAGACCCAGGAGTTCTTAGAGTTGAATATGTCTGAATACAAAAATAAAATAAAATCTCAACATGTTCAACTTTTAAAAATAAAGTGTTGCTTTAAAATTTTTCTTTGTGAAATGAACTTGAAAAGATACCTGTTTTGGTGTTGTAACACGAAGCTGGGAAACAGGACAATTATGTTTGTACTGCTTTTTTACATTTTCTTCCTCTGTAACCATGCTCTTGAAGAAAAAAAGAAAATAATTTCATTTAGGTATCAATGATGTTATGTGCTATCAAATCAATTACAACTCATAGTGACCCTGTGCACAAGAGCTCTAAACCTTACTCTACCCTGAGCCAATCTCACTGTCGCTGACATATCTATGCTCATTACCCCAGTTACTGTATCAAACCATCTTATCTGGGGTCTTCCTCCCCTGCACTGTCCCTCCACCCTTCCAAGCATGATGTCCTCCAAGGACCAGTCCCTCCTGGTCATATGCTCAAAGTATGTGAGACAGAGCTTAAAAATCTTGGTCTCCAAGGAGAAACTTGGTTTTACCTTCTCCAAAAGACTTACTTGTTCTCCTGGATGTCCATGGTATTTTCAATACTCTTCTCCAGCACCACAACATAAAGGCATGGATTCTTCTTATATCATCCTTAATCACTGTCCAGCTCTCTGGTGCATAGGAAGTAACTGGGAAGACCATGGCCTGGATCAGGTGCAAGAGCAATGGTGTCTCTCTGGAGACTAAGGTCCGCCTGATACAGGCCATGGTTTTTGCAATCAGAGAGTTAGACAATGACTAGGGAGGATAGAAGGAGAATTGACGCCTTTGAGCTGTGGTGCTGGAGAAGAGTATTGAATATTACCATCGAATGCTAAGAAAACAAACAGGTTCATCCTAGAGAGGGTTAAACCAGGCTGCTCCTTGGAGGCAAGGATTCTAGAGCTTTGACTGACATACTTTGGACATACTGCAAGGAGGGACAAATCCTTGGAGAAGGACATCATGCATGGGAGGGTGGAGGGATAGTACAGGAGAGGAAGACCTTCTATGAGATGGATAGATTCAGTGACTGGGGTAATAGGGGTAGGTGTGTTGGAGACAGTGAGATTGGCACAATAGAATAGAGCAGGATTTAGGGCTGTTGTACACAGGGTCACTATGAGTTGCAGGCAACTCAATGGCACATAACAACAACAACTGTTATTAACATTAGCAAGGATATAAGAATAGAGGCTCTGTTGTTGCATGTGCCATAGAATGGGAACCGACCCATAGTTGATCCTCCTTTAGGTTTTCAGAGGCAGTTAATCGCACAGGAGAAGATGGCCCATCCTTTTCCTATGTGGCCTTGAACAGCGTGCCTTCAGAACTGCAGCACAGCTTCTTATCACTAGGACACCAGAGCTCCATAAAGGCTCTACAGCTACCTAAATTAAAGTTTCAGGACATAAACTATTCATTATTCTAGAAAAAGTAAGAATAGAGGATTCCAAAGTTACAGAAGAGTCTGGAAGGAGATTTCAAAGAGTGAATAAATTTTTTACCTGCAATTTCTTAAGCAAGAATTTTTAGTGCATTGTTCTATTTTAGAATGTTGAGGTTTATCTAGTTTTAAATTGATAAAACTAGGGAGTCCTGGTGGCCTAGAGGTAAGAAATTGTGCTGCAATCTCAAAGACACGCAGTTTGAATCTACCAGCTACTCCATGGGAGACGCTCCACAGGAGAAAGAACTATCCCCTCTTGTGTGATCAATTGCCTCTGAAAACCTATTAGAGGTTCAGTTTTGAGTTGGTTCTTACTCAATGGTCGATAACACAGAGTCTTTATTATTATATCCTTGGGAAAGGATATAAGATACAAGGATACAAGGAGTATAAAGAGGATATAAGGATATATACCAAGAGTCAGCTATGAGTCATTTCTAACTCCACAGCACATAACACAAACAGGTTAAATTATTATTAATAATTCGTCATGACTTTATAAAATTCTTGTGTGTGTGAATACACTCATGGTAAGGATTAATTAGTGATTAGTGTTAGTGGAAATAACATCCTAAAAATGTCATCCTTAAAACAATAACTTTTTATAAAGAATAACAGAGATGATAAATTTCTGAGCCAAATGATCAGATATCAACTACTATTAAATTATATAAAAGAATGTTGTTGTTGTTGTTGTGTTGTGTATCATTGAGTCGGAACCGATCCATAGCTGACTCTCCGGTGGGTTTTTAGAGGCAGTGAGTCACATGGGAGGAGATTGTCCATCCTTCTTCTGAAGAGCAGCTGGTGGATTCAAACCACGTGTCTTTGGGATTGCAGCACAACCTTTTGCCACTAGGCCATCAGAAGAGAACAGTACCCACTGACCTGGTCCTGAGTGTATGGAAATAGGAGAGAAAGGGCTGTGTGGAGCAGCTGGGTGCTGACTAGAGAAGGGATGCTGAGGTTTATGGCTGGGCTTCCTGCCTGGTTTTGCACAGCTGGTGCCATAGCAGATTTAGCCAGAGAGAAGCCTGAAAGCAGAGAGAAGTGTCTGACCTCTGCAGCATCACTTTCCCTAGCACCTCACAGTTGCTAATAAACAATGAAAAAAATAGTTATGACATTAGGAAAGGAGGGAAAAGGCTTTCCATGGGTGGTGGAGGCCAAAACCCTACATGATCAAGGAGTTTCCACTCTACTTGTAGCTCAGTTGAAGATCTGTGCCAAGTGCATCTCTGCAATAAGAGTAAAAGGTCCTGGTCACCTCCAGAAAACTTTCCAATCACCTGAGGGCCAGAGAAGTATATAATGTACCCCCAAAAAGAGGCTCGGAATCATATAGTTGGCATTTAGCTGTTGTTATGTGACATCAAGTGAGAACGGACTTATAATTGACACTCCAGTGGATTTTCAGAGGCAGTAAATTATATAGAAGACTGCCTATCTTTCTCTTGTGGAGCAGCTGGTGAATTTGAACCATATGCCACTGGGATGACAGTGCTACTCCTTACCACTTGGCTACCAGAGCACCTTAGAAAAAGAAAAAAGAAAATAAGATTGTCTTTATAACAAGAAAATGAGACAATGAGTACTCATACGATGCATCTACCATGATATATGCAAGGCACCAGTGATGTGAGGTATCCATGCTGGTACTACAGACAGCTGCTGCACGAGTGAAGGAGGGTGGGCCACTCAAGAAGAGACCAGAGATGTGATGGGGAGCATCAGCATGAGAGAGTCAAGCAGTGCTAGCAGCAGCCTCAGGACAGAGTAGAACAGTGACGGCAAGAGAGACCAGCATCACAGAAGTAACTGAAGGCTTGAACTATCATATTGGTATTATAAGGAAATGTACAAAGAGCTGAAGTTGGGAAATCAAAAAGGTCAAACTCGCTCAGCATTTCTTAAGACAAAGGAACTGAAGAACAAATTCAAGCCTTGAGTTAGAATACTTAAAGATGTGATAGGCAGAATATTAAATGATCCAAGAAGCATCAGAAGAAAACAGGAGTACACAGAGTCACAGCACCACAAAACACAGAAGTACTTCATGAAACAACTTATGTTCAAGAGGCAATGGTAATTAAGAAGAAAGTCCAAGCTACTCTGGAGGAACTGGCAAAAAACAAGGCCCCAGGAACTGTTGGAATACCAGTTAACATATTTCAACAAATAGGTGCAGTCCTAGAAGTGCTCAGTAGTCTGTGCCAAGAAATCTGGAGGACAATCACCTGGCCAACTGACTGGAAGAGATCTACATGTATTCCCTTTCCAAAAAAGGTGATCCTAGAACATGGTTGTGCTCATGTGAAACCTATACTTGGACCAGGAGGCAATTGTCAGAATAGAGCAGAGAAACACTGCATGGTTCAAAATCAGAAAAGGAGTGCATCAGCATGTGTCCTGTCCCATATCTTTTCAATCTGTATGCAGAACAGATCATTCAAAAGGCTGGACTTTATGAGGAGGAATGTGGCATCAGGATTGTAGAAGATTGTAGAAGATTGATAAACAATCTAAGTATACAGATGACACAATCTTACTTGCTGAAACTGAGGAAGGCCTGAAGTATCTGCTGCAGAGGATCAAGGACTGTAGTTTGCAACATGGATTGAAACTCAAAGTCAAAACAAAGATTCTCATAACTAGGCCAACTGGCAGCATCATGATAGATGGAGAAGAGATTGAGACTGTTAACAATTTCCGTTTGCTCGGTTCCACAATCAAAACTCTTGGCACCAGTAGTCAGGAAATCAAAAGACAAATTTCACTGGGAAAAAATCTACTGTCAAGGTCTTCTCCAGAGTGCTGGAGAGCAAAGATGTCAATCTAGCGACCTGAACCAGGCCATGATGCATGCTATGCATCAGAGATCTGGACAATGACTACTGATGACAAAATAACTGATGCCTCTGAGTTGTGGTGCTGGAGAAGAGTACTGAACATACCACTGACTGCCAAGAGAGCTAACAAGTCTGTCTTGGAGAGGGTGAAACCAAGCTGCTCTTCAGAGGCAAGGATTTTGAGATTCCATCTCACATACTTTGGGCACGGTTACATGTCCTCCTGGCTACAAGAGGGAACAATCCTTGGAGAACAATATCATACTTGGAAGGGTCAAGGGACAGTACAAGAGAGGAAAACCTCAATGAGGTAGATTGACACAATAATTAGGGTAATAAGAGTAGGTGTATCAGAGACAGTGAGATTGGTTCAAGATAGAGCAGAGTTCAGAGTTATCATGCATAGGGTTGCTATGAGTTGTAGTCGATTCAACAGCACATAACAAAAACATATCCAGTATTTTAAAATACAATTTTCTAAAATCTGAGGACAAATTATTTGAACTCTGGTGTCTTAGTGGTAAGAACTTATGCCACCAATTCAAAGGTATGTAGTTTAGATCCACTAGCTGCTCCATGGGAGAAAGGTGGGAATCTTCTCCCACCTAATTTACTGCCTGTGAAAATCCACTGGAGGGTCAGCTATTGCTCAGTTCTAACTCTATGGTACACAACAACAAGAACAATAATATCCTCATAATGCTATAAAGAGATATGGCTCTGTTAGGATAAACTTCTAGTGTACTTCAGTGAGAGTATCATGCCCATACCCTCTACATACAAATCAAGAAAGAAAGTAGACAAATAACTGTCAGTTATTTGCAGTATTTTTACCAAGATATCAACTGTTTCTGAACTATCTGAATTAACATCAAATTCAAAGACCATTTTCCTCTTCTTATTATTGTCTTCAATGGATAAATTCTGTTTTTCCTTTGGTTGCATTTTTGCATTTGGTGGTGTCTTCACAGTATAGGCCTATTAAAAAGAAACAATGCATTACATCAAATAAAGTATGTTTTGTAAAAGGACTTAACCATTTTAAGGGTACTAAATTAAGTTTCATTTAGCAATCACAAAATCTCCATTACATGCACATGACAGAATTTTTGGCTAAGATTTTATTTCAAATTTTTTTTATATTAGAAATTTTAGGGCCTTACAAAAAAAAAGGAAATTTACAATGTTAAACTCCATTTTCCCCTGCAACTTAATGAAGAAAGTAATGGCAGAAAAAGAGAAAGATCCTATACTATTACTACACAAAAATCGTAAGAGGGATTTTAATTTTTCTAATCATATGAGTAGCAGTAAAGTATTACCTGATGAGCCCCTCAGATTGGAAAATACTATCAAAATACTTTTAATAAAAAGATGCCTTCTCAAAGCAGAGTCTGCCTTAATGGTGTGGCAGAAGTAACACTTTCAGTCAATAAAAGACTTTCATCTACAGATATGGCAAGACTTAAGATGAGGATAAGCAGCTGCAAAATTAATAACTAAAACACAGATGGCACAAAGTAGGATTCTAGGAAAACTGGACGTTGCAACATTAAATAGAATGCAAAAAATAGCCATGTTAGGCATTAGTGAACCAAAATGGACTGGCACTGCCATTCTGAGTCAGACAACAACATTGTCTACTATGCTGTGAATGAGATTCTGAAAATAAATCTTATAACATTCATAATTTAAAAAATCCCACTTCAAAATCTTTCCTGAAGTACAATGCAGTCAGTAATAGGATAATATCAATAGGAATATAGGGAAGACCTGCTAATATGCTTAATAATTAAATATATGTACCAGCTACTAAAGCCAAAGATGAAGGACTTGAGCATTTCTAACAACTTCTGCAGTCTCAAACTGCAGATCAAACATGAAATCAAGACGCTTTAATAATAATTAGTGGTTGGAATAGAAAAGTCAGAAACAAAGAAGGAAGACTGTTATTGTTAGGTACCATAGGGTTGAGTACAACTCATAGTGACCCTATGAACAACAGATCTGAACCCTGTCCTATCCTATGCCATCCACACAATCTCCAACACACTCATGCCCATTGCTGCAGTCACTATAATAATCCATTTACTTGAGAGTCTTGTCCTCCTTGGCCATTCCTCCGCCTTCCCAAGTATAAGGTCCCTATCCAAGGAATATCCTCTCCTAGACACATGTCCAAAGTTTGTGAAATGAAGTTTCATCATCTCTGCCTCCAAGTATCACTCTGGTTGCACCTTCTCCAAGACATATCTGTTCTTTTCTCAGCCTGGAGGATATGCACCACTCTTTCCAATACCACAATTCAAAGGTATCAATTCTTCTTCTGTCATCCATAGTTATTGCCCAGCTCTCTCAGATGCACAGCAAGTTACTATTAAGGAACAACAACGTGAGTTTTAAGACTAAGTTGCACCTGAATCAAGCCATTGTCTTTTCAATCATTTCCTATGTATCTGAAAGTTGGACAATGAATAAGGATTACAGAAAAAGAATCAATGCCTTTTAGTTGTGGTGTTAGAGAAGAGTATTGAATAGATCATGGGTGACCAAAAGAACAAAAAACTCTTTTCTTTTTTGGAGGAAGTACAATCAAGGTGTTGTTCCTTGGAGGTCAGGTGGTAAAATTTTGTTTAATATACTTTAGGCATATTGTCAGGGACCAATTCTTGGAAAAGGACAGAATACTTGGAAAACTAGAAGTTATGAATAGGACTCTTCTGTTTGTTCTGTGATTGTCAATCAACCACAAAGCTGGGAAGTAAGAGCTAATAACTTATATTCTAAAGACGGTAGCCTACAGTTAAGACTAGATTTTCCTTTAAGGATTATTAAATCTATATAATCACCAAATACCCTTTTTCTCTTTCACAGTTAAAGAAGACACAAAGAGGAAGGCATTAAATACTAGGTCAGTGACATGGAAAACTACTGAGATACTTTTACCTACAACTCCCAAGTGAGGAGGGAACACCAAGAACATTCTTACAGAGACTAGGGTTGCCTTCACAAAAGGGAGACTGGCATCTCTATCCCAGGTTGACTATGAATTTAAAGAGAAAAGGATGGCAGGGAGGGAACAGAAGTAAATTATCTTATATTGCTAATAGCATGGCACTATTGTGAATTTTGGATTAAAAAGAAATATAGAAGACAGTTAAAACTAATCCACCTTACTAGCAGCACCTACTAAAAGAATGCTGAATACTAATTAAAAAAGTTCCAGAAACAAGATGAGGTGGGATAAATAGAAAGGAGAAGTGAGATAATAATGGAAAAAGTCAAATCAGAATAAGATTTCTCCTATAAGAAATCTATGCATTAATGATTTTATCTGCCACACCAAGACTGTAGACACATGTTGCTGGTTTGTTTGGGGATTTTGTTGTTGTTGTTTTTAAAAAGACATATCATCTAACACTACTATAGAAACTTTGAAGAAATTACTCTGTGTGTGAGTGCATTAAGTATATTAAGGAATAGAAACTAGGAGTTTGTGTTTTGGGTTGGTTTTTTTTTTTAGAAACTAGGAGTTTTGAAGCAACAGGAACTTAATTGGCTTTTTAAAACTGATTGAAAAACTTTTTATTTCAACAAAAAAAAATTAAAGGCACTATCATCACAAAAATGTTAATAACAAACCTTTGGAAATGGTGTAGATAAAACACTTTTTGTAGATGTCCATAAATAATCTCTTTTCGCTTTTGATTTGTCACGATCAGCTGATGCAGTAGATGTCCATAAAGAATCTCTTTTCTCTTTAGATTTGCCACTATCAGTTGATGTAAAAGTTTTAGATATATTTTGTAAAGGAGTTGCTTTAGAATACAGTTTCTGAGAACTAGTTTCAGTTGTTTCCACCAAAGATGTCTGTGTTCTCTTCATTGATTAAAAAAAATAAAAATACAAAATAGTCTCTAACTATTATTCTAAGTATTTATTTCATTAAGTAAGTAACATCAACCAGTAGAACACTTAGGTAAACAGAATTTATCTAAAAATATACTAATAATTATATTAGAATGAATAAATTACACTTATCATCTGTCATCCACTTTTCCATAAAGATGTAAGATGAAAATGTTTAATCTACTCTTGTCTTCACAGAGTTGTTGTGAAAACAAATGAGTTATCTAAATTTCTCATATACCTTAAATTCAAGGATCTTCTAAAGAAAAAAAAAATCTCCATTTTTTCCAGTAAAAGGCTGAATAGTGGTGTAAAAACTCTTGAGTTACTAATAACCTAGAAGTCAGAGAATATTTTCATTTTAATTCATCCCCTTTCAATCATTCATACTTTCTCTCAGTAAACTATAAAATATCAGCATTTTTCAATCCAGCCCTGCCCATAAATATACTCTGACTCTAAAAAAAAAAAATCAGCATTTTTCTTATCAGTAAGTTTTTTTAAATAGGGATAAATGCGACTATAAAGAATGAAGAGATATTTGCATTAATTCTGAAAGTAAATTGCAAATTTACTCTGAACACTGAGATGCTATTTCAACTCTATCTGATAAGATCACTTTCTCTCTACTTTTATGCACAGCTTTCTTTAGCACATGACCTAATCTAGTAAAAGGTCATAATCGTTTCTCTACTCATTAATTTGTTGATGGGCACTTGTGTTGCTTCCATCTCCTTGTTATTGTGAATAATGCTGCAACAAACATTATACATACAACTGTTCATGTCACAGCTCTCATTTAATTAGAGTATATTCCCAGTAATGAAATAGCTGCATCAAATAGTATTTCAATTTTCAACTTTTTGAGGAAACATCAGGTTGCCTTGTATAGTAGTTGTACCATTTTTCATTCCCACCAGTAACACATGACAGTTCAATTTCTCTGCATCTTCACCAATATTTATTGTTTGTTGTCCTGTTACCGCCATTAGGGTTAGATATTTCATTCTTATGAATTTGATCTCTAATTGCTAGTAATCTTGGGCATTTCTTCATGTGTTTATTGATTACCTGAAGCTATAGCACATTCACAAAATGGACTACTATGCAGCAGTGGAAAACAATAAAGAACTTGTACAACTCTACACAACACAGATGAGTCTGCAGGACACTATGCTGAGTGAAATAACCCAGGTACAAAGTGCAAATACTGGGTAAGACTACTATTACAAAAATAGAGTGTTTGGGGGCAGGGTATGTAGAACAGGATTAAAATGGAGAGACAATGAATAATGTAATAAATTAAGGAAAGGGAAGATCAACCTGAAATGAGTGGAGGATCAGACAGCCTTTTAAACTAAATTAGCCATGTACAATATAATATGCAGAACTGATCAAATAGGGAAGAAGGGGGGGAAGAGAGTAAATGAAGGTTTACTCACAGATGGAAACAATAAAGGAGGTTTGACAGGCAGGGACAAGAGGAACAGAGAAGGAGCAGAGATTAGTGAATGGATAGGTTGATAAAGGGAAAAGAAGAGTACAGCAAAAGTTCAATAGGACATTGTGAATAATGGCATTATTTAATTGTAATTATAGTTACAAAATGAAAAATAAGTGCATAGGAATCAAATTGACTACATCTGTGGAAAGAATCTTTGGAAAAGCTCAATATCAGCTGTAAAAACTAGGCCAGGTGATGATTGTGAAACAGACTACCAACTACTCATATACAAGTTCAAGCTGAGGCTAAAAAAAAATCCGTTAAATCCACAGGAACGAATATTTAACCTTGAGTCTATCCCACTTGAATTTCAAAACCATCTTTGGAACAGGTTAAGGCCTTTAATACTAATGAGCAAAGACCAAATGCGCTGTGGGAAGATATCAAGAATATCATCCATGAAGAATGCCAAAGGTCATTTCAAAGACAAAGGAGGAAGAAAAGAACTAAATGGATGTCAGGAGAGACTCCGAATACTGGACTAGAGCATCAAGAAGCCAAAGCAAAGAAATCAAGAACTTAAGGAGCTGAACAGAAGATTTCAAAGGGCAGCACAGGAAGACAAAGTATTATAAAGAAATGTGCAAAGAGCTGGAGTCAGAAAATCAGAAGAGCCAAACTCACTCGGTATTTCTTGAGCTGAAAGAACTGAAGAACAAACTGATGCCTCAAGTTGCAAAACATAAGGATGCTCTGGAAAGAATATTAAATTATTCAGGAGGCATATAAAAAAGAAAACAGAAGGAGTATACAGAGTCACTGTACCAAAAAGAGTTGTGTGAAACAGAAGAATTTCATGCAACAACATATGATCAAGAACCAACAGTAATGAAGGAGGAAGTTCAAACTGCTCTGAAGGAATTGGCAAAATACAAAGTCCAAGGAACTGATAGCATGCCAACTGACAATTCAACAAACAGACGCTGCTCCCAACTAAAACTCAATTCACTTTCTTCTTAAGTGCACATGGTACATTATCCAGAATCCATCACGTATTAGGACTCAAAGCAAGGCTCAACAAATTAAAAAACATTAAAATAATACAAAAGTAACTTCTCAGACCACAGTTCCATAAAACTAAAAATTAACTATAGAAGTTTAAAGCTTACAAAACTACCGTGTAGAAACAGAATAACTCTCTGCTAGAACTCGGGTTTTTAAAAGAAATAAAAAATAAAATTTTAAAGTTCCTTTAAACAAATGTAAATGAAAAGACAACATATCAAAACCTCTTGGATACACAGGTAAAACAGTCATTAGGATCCAGTTCAAAGCAACAGGCACACATATAAAAAAGGAAGAAAGAAGAAAAATCAATGCTCTAACTCAACACCTTCATCAAAAAGAAAAAGAACAACAACTGAATCCTACAGCTTCTAGAAGAAAAGAAACTATAAGGATAAGAGCTGAAATCAATGAGATAGAAAACAGAATAAGAAATGAACGCTTCAGTAAGACCAGGAGCTGGTTTTTTGAAAGGGTCAGTAAAATTGATAAACTGCCAGCAAATCTAATAAAAGAAAAGAAAGGGAATACGCAGATAACTCGATTAAGAAATGACAGAGGTGACATCAAAACAGAACCAGATGAAATTAAATCAGTAATATCAGAATACAATAAATTAAAATAGGTAGAGAAAATGGACAAATTCCTTGAAACTCATGCCTAACCAAGATTGACAAGGACAGATAAGAACACTTGAACAGTCCCATCACAAAAGAAGAAATTTAACAGGTCATAAAAAGACTTCCCATAAGTCCTCGATTAGATGGCTTCACAGCCGAATCCTACCAAACATCCAAGAATGAGCCAAAAAGCATCAAAAGAAGATGGAGGGATAACACAGAGTCACTGTATCAGAAAGAATTGATTGATACTGAAAAAATTCAGAAAGTACCATATGAACAGGAGTCAATGGTAATAAAAGAGGAAGTGGGTGCTGCACTGAAGGCACTGGCAAAAAAATTAGGCCCCAGGAATCGACGGGATACCAACTGACTTGTTTCAGTTAACAGATGCAGCCTTGGATACATTCAACAATCTATGCCAGGAAATTTGGAGTATGGTTATCTGGCAAACTGAATGGAAGAAGTCCATATTTGTTCCCATTCCCAGAGAAGAGTGATCTAACGGAATGTGGAAAGTATGGAACAATATCATTGATATAAACAAAATACAGTTAAAGATCATTCAATAGCAGCCTGAAAAGTATATTGATAGGGAACTGCCAGAAGTTCAAACAAAATTTAGAAGAGGCCATAGCACCAAGGGATATCATTGCTGATATCAGATGGATCTTGGCTGAAAGTAAGGAATACCAGAAGAATGTCTACTTGTACTTTATTGACTATTCAAAGGCATTTGACTTTGTGGATCATGACAAGTTGTGGCTGGCATTAAGAAGAATGGGAATCCCAGAGTACTTGATTGTGTTCATGAGGAACCTAGACCTGGATTAGGAGCCTGTTGTGTGAACAGAGCAGGGGAGCACTAGTTTGGAATTGGGAAGGGAGTGCATCAGGATTATATTCTATCTCCACGCCTGTGCACTCTATATGCTGAGCAAAATATTTAAGAAGCTGAAATCTATGAGGAAAAATGTGGCATCAAGATTGGAGGGAGACTCATCAACAACCTGCGTTATGCAGATGACACAACTTCACTTGCTGAAAGTGAGGAGGATGTGAAGTACTTGTTGTAGAAGTTCAAGGAATACAGCCTTTGGTATGGATTGTGTCTCAATATCAAGAAAACAAAGATTCTTACCACTGTCATGATGGATGGAGAGGAAACTGAAACTGTCAACATCTTCATCATGCTTGGATCCAAAATTAACACCCTTGGTATGAGAAGTCAGAAAATATGGAGATGCATTGTACTGGGAAAATATGAGGTTAGGGACCCTTCCAAGTTATTGAGGAGTAGTGATGTTAGTTTAAGGACTAAGATACATCTGATTCAGGCCATAATATTTTCAATTACTCACTATGCACCAAGATATGGATAATGAATAAGGATGACAGAAAAATAATTAACACCTTTGACCTTTGGTGTTGGAGAAGAGCACTGAAAATCCCATGGATGACCAAGAGAACGAACAGTTAAGTCTTGGAAATCATACCACTAGAGTACTCTTTGGAGGCAAGAACGATGAGGCTTCACCTCATGTTCTTCGGAAGTATTGCTAGTAGGTGTTGTTCCTTAGAGAGAGACACGATGTTGGGAAGGGTGGAGGGTTGGTGATGGAAAAGAAGACCCTCAACCAGATAGATTGACATGGTGACTGCTACAATAAGCTCTTGTGTGTCAGGAAGTGTGAGGATGGCGCAGGACAGGACTGCATTCAGATCTTTTGTTCACGGGGTTGCTATGAGTCATACTTGACTTGACGGCACATAGAACAATAACAATTCAGAAATGATCTATCGCCAAGTCTACTTAAATTATTTCACAAAAAAGAAAAAGA